CTGCAAGTACCACAGTAGAAGTAATTAGGCTGACTGAGATTATAAATTGTCTTTTATAGTCACTTTCAATTAGATTACCTGGAATAGAACTGGTCTGAAGCCAGCAAATTGACGATACGGAGTGTTTCCCAGGGTTGTTTTGAGAGTTAAATGACTTAATGCACATAAAGCGTTTAGCACAGCGTTTCTCAGCTGGGAGCTATTCTGTCCTCGCAGGGGTGCCCAGTGGGATCTGGAGACGTTTGTTGTTGTTGTTGTTGTTGCCAACACTGAGGGACGGTGGTTACTGGCATCTTCTGCTAATCCGGCAATGTGCAGGACAGTCCCTACACACAGAGGTCTGCCTAGCCCAAAATGCCAGCCGTGCCGCCTGTGAGAAGCCTCGAGTCACAGCGGTGTGCGTCTGGCTCATAGTAAGGGCTGCATTTACGTTTGCTACTGTTATTCTTTTATAGATGATCCTTCCTGACACAAGTTCTTACACAGTCTGAGGGTGGAGCCTTAGACTTTCTGGGTTGTGAAGCCTAGCTTTACTCTTTATTAACTGTGTGGTTTTGAGCACATTATTTGACTGCTTTATACCTTATCTTCTTTGTCTGTGACACTGGAATATCAATAGTAACTCCCACAGAGAGTTGCTGGGGAATTGAATAAAATAATCCATATAAAACATTCAATACTGTGCAGTAGCACATAGTAAATGTTCAATAAATGTCACTAACTTTTGCTGTTGTAGACCCTTAAAAGGCCTTTCCTCAGACTTTAGGGAAGGGATTGGGGATAATATTAATGGGAAAAAAAAAGAAAATATGTTGCTCATATAAAGTATATACAAGTGTGTATTTCATACAATAAAAGAAAACTACATACAAGTTAAATCAAAACCATCTTTTCTAAGGCTGTTATTTATTGTTTTTAAAAAGTATATTGCTCCTGCTTTCCTGGTAGAGCAGCTCCTTGAAATAAAGGATTCTGTCATTAAAAAAAATAATGTGTCAAGCTGATAGTAACCAGAGGGGGGGAGGGGATTCACAGGGGAAAGAAAGGGAAGGGTCATCAAGGAACATGTATAAAGGACCCATGGACAAAGCCAAGGGTGGGTAGGACTAAGGGTGGGAGGTGGGGGGTGGGTGGGGCAGGGGGGAGTGGTGAGGGAAAAATGAAGAAAACTGTACTTGAACAACAATAAAAAAATAAAATAAAACAGTGTGTGTAGTATATAATGTAAAATTATTTAATTAAGGCTTTCAATCTTGATTAGAAGTATAGATACATTAAAGCACTTTAAGAACCAATGTTAAACATAAAAGTGTTAACCACTAACACTAACACAGTAGCAACAATCTTTTGTGCTTTAGATGTATTAATCTCTTATTCCTTTATAGAGGTAGCGGGGAGAAACCCACAGTGGGTGAGTTTACAGATCTATAAGATTCTCATTTTACAATCTAATATTTGTGAAGGTTCTTTGGAAATTGTAAAACACAATGACGCAAATGTGTACCTTTACCATTAACGTCAACTCTCTAACGAGTTATTACAGGGTTGGATGTTGACATTGTGAGTGAGGCAGCTCGGCTTCTTAGTCTAACCTGTGTTCCAGGAGGGCAGAATCAGGCTACTGGTAAGTTTTGCATTTAATAAACTACTTGATAAATTATCAATTATTTGGTATAATATTGTAGATATAATGAAAAAGAACTGTTTCTCAGCATAAAACTTTAAAGTATATAATCTACCATATTTTATATTCTGTCACAGAATAGTTGGGGGAAGAAAAACCCCACTATATACAAAACAGAGGAACACAACAATCTGGGAAAAATGTTTGCAATGTATATGGAGGAAGATACATATTCCCATTAGAAACAAAAGGCCTATAAAGCAGCTACAAGGGTGTGAGTACTCTAATAAAAGTCATGAATAAGCAATTCACAAGAGAAGAAATTGAAATATCCAGTAAATGTGAAAAACGACCAGAGACTTCTGATCAAGATGGAGGCATAGGTAAACACAACTCGCCTCCTTGCCCAACAATATCAAAATTATAACTAAAATATAGAACAACCGTCACTCAGATCTGTCAGAAATTGAGTCAAATGGAAGTCTGACAGCTATGGAATTAAATAAACCACTTCTATCCAGAATGGTAGGAGGGGTGGAGATGCAGAGCAGACTGGTCCCACACCCACATGTGGTAAATAAAAATTCAGGAGACATATCTCGGGAGCAAGGAGTCCAGCTTCACACTAGGATCTCCAGCCCAGGGTTCCAGTGCCAGGAAGATAAGTCCCCATAATTGCTGGTTGCAAAAACCAGCAGGGATTGAGTTGGTGAAAGAAACTTCTGGAGTCTCAAGCATATACTTACTCAGACTCACTCCCTCTGAACTCCAGCACCAGGGTAGCAGCCTGAAAGACACCAGTGGCAAAGAGGGTAGAAATGAAGTGTCTGGCATCAAGGAGAGAGCTGGGGGACAGCTTTGTCCCAGACAGAAAGGCGGGAAGAGGCTATAGTCCCTTTTCTGATCCCTCCCCTGACAGAGCCATGGAGCCATAGAGCCACAGAGCTGGGGCCAAGTGCCATATCTGAGACTCCATCAATCTGGATAAAACTGCCCTGCCCAGGTGATCCTCTGAGGCTCTGCCCCACCCATCTTATGGGCTTACCTTAGCTGTTAACAGTAGCTTTCCCATGTGAATAGCTGATGTCAGCTCATGGTTCACAACTTCCTAAATCCTCTCCAACAAGTGAAAGCCAGCTTCAGTGAGTCCCCAGACTTCTGTGTCTCTTGCTAAATGGCCCCAGGCCTCGCAGTAGCAGCAGCCAGCCTAGATTCACAGCTTGGCTTCACCTGGGAACCACCAAGCCCAGCACAAGTAGCAGCCATCTCAGATGCTTTATAGCTCAGGCAGGGTGGCTTCAGGCAAAACACAGGTGGGGGCTGACCTTGGCCTGCATCACCTGGAAAACCACAGAGTGTGCACACCCAGTGGAGAGCTGCAGCCCATGTTGGAGCTCCACCACCCTTCTTGTACACAGCTGATCTTTCATGGAGGGCAGAGCTTGGTGGTATATGGTCACAGCCAATCCTTGCAGCTGGCTGCCTTGAGTAAATCCCTTTCATTGATCTGCCAATAGCAACTAATGCTCAACTACAAGAGGAGGGTGTACTCAGCCCACACAAAGGGTGCTCCTTGAATACCCAGTGGGGGTAATAAGGGAGGCTGTGTCAGTGGACCCTACAGGACATCTACTACATTAGGCCATGCTACCAAGAGAGGGAGTCATAGCACTTCTTCCTAATACATAGAAAAAAACACAGGGAGGCTGCCAAAATGAGGAGACAAAGAAACATGGACCAAATGAAAGAACAGATCAAAACTCCAGAAGAAGAACTAAATGAAATGGGAGAAGCAATCTATCAGATACAGAGTTCAAAACACTTATTATAAGGGTGCTCAAGGAACTGAATGAGGACATCCACAGCATAAAAATTCCAGCCAGAAACAAAAGATACACTAATTCAAATAAAGAACAATATACAGGGAAGCAACAGTAGAGTGGATGAAACTGAGAAACAAATCAGTGATGTGGAACATAAGGAAGCAAAAAAAAAAAATATATATATATATATATATATAACCAATCAGAACAACAAGAAGAAAAAAGAACCCCCCACAAAAAATGGTGATATGTAAGCAGCCTCTGGGATGACTTCCAGTATTCCAACACTGGCATCAGAGGGGTGCCAGAAGGAGAATGGAGAGAGCAGGAAATCAGAAATGTATTTGAAAGAATAATGAAAGAAAACATCCCTAATTAGCGATAGTGGTACGATGGGGAAGGATGGAGGGACAGGATCTCCCGCCTCTCCCCACCAGCACCTCTACTGAAGATGCTGTTAGATCTGTTTTCCTACATGTCTCAGTGAAGTAAGCTGTGTGGGCAATGACTCTCATCAATTATTTTCTTCCCTTGAATGATTCTTGATGTCATTCATAAAATAAGTCTAATATTTGAAGCCCTATTCCCATTTGACTGTTCTTAAGCTAAGGTCCTAAGAGTTCTTGACCCTTGATTTCTGTCTATCAAATCCCTGCACTCAGTCAGAAGAAAAGTGAGTCTATTCGTCCTCTTAATATATCCACAGCATGACCTTTGTTCCTTGCCTCCTACTCCCCATCACCATTGTTCCAAAAAACCCAGGGCTGGGTGGATAAAAACAAGAAATAGGGTAAATGGAAACAGATGGGTGATGAGGTTACAAGTGAGAGTGAACCAGAACAATGGGATAAAAATATTTGTTTGCACATATTCTTTATTCATTATGAATTCCCCCCCATATATTCTAAACAAAGTACTTGATTTCACTGGGATTATTATATTAAAAGTTTTTTTTGAAATGGGGACTGAAAAGGTGGATTCCGTAACAATAAACACTGTTTACAGGCATAACGATGAGTCCCATTCTACTGCTTTTATACAGTAGAACTAAAATTTTGCATGTCTTTAATTTATCCTTATCGTTTTTACTGTTTACTGTCCTCTAGACATACTGTTTTCTGAACACCAGAATCTGGCATAATGCCTGCCTCGCACTTAAAAGAGGTCAACAATTGTTTAATGAGTAAATGAAGGAATGATGTCTATGCAACCGGGACATGACTGACATTCGTTGTTTTACTTTTGCTGAGTAAATTGTGGGTCTATATTTACTCATACAGATTGCTACATGAGAAAATAGCTTCAAATTTAGACGAGGACAAGACCCTTTTACTTCTTGAGATCATTTCTTTATTTTTATCTTGTTTAGAAGATAGTTTGGAAGGGCTTATTTGAGGGTAGTTTTTTTAGTGTCAAGTGACTCAAAATGAAGAAGTCTCAGTTTGAGGCCTCTGGTTTTTTTTTTTTTTTTGAAGTCTTACCCAAAAGGAAGTACGAGGTGAATTGCATAAACTTGAAGTACGACAGAGACGAAACTTAAAGCAGGAAGAGCCTTGCCATTACGGTGCTGGATGGGGACACATGTGTCATGTGAACAGACATGACAAAAACAGCCCTCCTTAAGTTACTTTTAGCGATAGTGATCACATTCATTTTAATTTTGCCAGAATATTTCAAGACACCACAAGGTGAGTATATAATTACAATGTATCCTTTCTTTTTCTAATTAAAAAAATTATGACAGCTAATGGCTACAGGAAATGTCCTCGTTTTGCACACCTGCTGCCTGGGCTGAAGCTTTGTGTCTGAAAAGCTAATAAAATGAGACGGCAATTTCAGTTGCTGGTTAGCACAGCTCAGTGCTAATACTTAATTATTGTAGCACGTAATGATGCAATGAAGGAGTGATTCGAAATTTGTGGTCTAGATTTTAAACACTGCGTTTATAATAATATAATCATGTGATTTTTGCTTTTTAAAACATTTTCTTTCAAAAGTAGTTTTAAGTATGCTTTTACATTCTGAAATTATTTTTTAAAGAAAAAAAACATTTATTATGTATAAAATGCTTGAGTCTCTCCAACACAACTATTTCACACAATAACTTACTATTGCTTTTTGAAAAACAAAAATATTTATTTTCAATATATAATTAGAGTAAAAGGGGTGCAAATTTAAGCAGGTATATGTGTGTATGTATTTTAAGGAGAGAAAAATGGACTCATTTCAGAGAATTGTGATGATTGCTAGAGTCTACGGTAGAAAAACTAAATAGATGTAAGCTTAAAGTATTTTTATATATTGGTGATATATTTGAAACTATATTAATCTGACTGGATGATTTGAAAATGCATTAATGTGACTGGAAGATAAATGTCCCTAACATTTAATAAAAAGAAAAAATAAAAATTATGTATTGTATCTTAGAAGTTATATAAATATTACTAAAATAAAAAAATCTTATATTCGATGACTTGCTACAATAATTATTATTGCATATACATAATGCTAAGTAGACAGATTAAAAGTTTTGAGTAAGTAAACACCATAATTGTACAGCTTTGTGAACAATTGAATTTGTTCACAAAACAAACCAAAATAAATTTGAAAATTTCTTTTGGTTTTCTGGCATTATGTTGCTTAGGTTAAGCATATATATATTGAATTTAAAAGAAATTTGGGCCTGGATGGTGTAGCTCAGTGGATTAAGCACGGTCCTGCGAACCAGAGGATTGGGGCTTGATTCCCAGTCAGGGCACATGCCTGGATTGCAGGCCAATTCCCAGCAGGGGATGCACGAGAGGCAACCATACATTGATATTTCTCTCTCTCTCTCCTTCCCTTCCCCTCTAAAGATAAATAAATAAAATAAAAATAAAAAAATTAATGACACTTACATACGATGCAGTTGGTTTCAGGTGTTCAGCAGTACCGTGCTGAGACAACCGTGCACTTCACCAAGTGCGTCCTGACATTGCCGGCTCCCACCGGGCACCGTGCAGTCATTACGTGACTTGTATTTTTAATTCTTGATTTCACTGAGGGAAAACGCAAAAAGAATAGTTAGAATTGGACTAGAAATAATTTATTTCAATTTGTAAGCTATTTTGGACTGAGAGTAAGCTTATTTAATAGTTATCTATGGTAGGTCATATCAAGATATATATATGTCTATAGTATCTCCCAAATATCAGGTTGGATCTAATGAAAACCAGGTAATCAGTCCAAAAAAGATTGAATAAACTCTTTGCTAACTATTGGTTAGTGCTTATGAGAGCTGGTGACTGCCAGCATCGATAAAAATTGTAGTTCTCCTAGTTTCCTAACTGACTGTATCCGACCCCAACACGACCTTTGCTGCCGCTACAAACCGGGAACAGCCGTTTCTCTTTTTCCTGCTTCAGGAACAGAATAGATATTCCCTCAGACTCTTTGGGGTGAGAAACTTATTTGGGAAATTTGTTTCAAAGATAGTCCCTGTGGAGCCTACAAATAAAGTGTTTAAAAACCACCATCTTATCTTGATATTTTGTGGTAGAAGGAATTTTTCCCAGAATCAACATAAACAAAAAAAGTTGATTATTAGGCAAAATGTTTTATATTTACAGTAGTATAAAAATAATCTGTTACAGGTGCTATAGTGTAGTAATAATGCTTTATATCTTATAATGGTTTATGGATGACCAGGAATAGTTCATGTTGCCTCATTTTATACATAAGGGCCCATATAAGGGAGGACCCCCCAAAACCAGAATTATCTTCTAGAAGGCAGGCCCCTGGCACTACAGTCTTCCCCCACTAGGTGAGCGTTCCAGGAGCCCATCTTTAGCAGTGTACCAGCTGGCATTGTTGTGAGAGGCTGCATTCAGCTTCAGTGGATTTTTTTGAAGACTTTCAATATGTTTGCCCATTTCATGATGGGTGATACACAAAAGCACCTGCCCACAGTGTATTGTTCAGCAGCTATTGACCCAAAAATGGCCTGACCTCCGTGCTCAATCCTCCCTATTCACCTGATCTTGCCTGAGTGACTTTTTTGTTTCACCTGATCTTGCCTGAGTGACTTTTTTGTTTCCCTGGATAAAAAAAAGTCCTCAAAGTGAAACATTTTGCCAATGTGGAAGAGGTGAAACAAAAAATGGCAGAAGCACTAAAAGGCATCAAAACCAAAGAGTTCAAAACCTGTTTGGGGCAGTGGAAAAAAAGGTCTGGATAGGTGTATTACATCAAATGGAGAGGACTTTGACGGTGACTGAAGTTTAAACATGTAAGAGTAAACACAAAATTTTTTATAAATAAATCCCGTTTTTTTGGTCCCCCTCGTAACTGTTTTTCTTTCTCTTTAATTAGTAACTTTTAAATCACAACAATACTAGTGTCTTATGAAATGAATTGACTTAGCTGATATAGTTCATAAAATATTATATCTGGTAAAATTATTTAGATGATAAGCAAAGAGTGCCCTGTTAATGCTGAAATCAACCTTGAGATTTTCCTGTATAGTTTCACCCTCCCTATCAGTTACTTGTGTATTTTTTTCTTTTTTTTCTTATTTTCTATTCACTTTAATTTCTAAGATAAATATTATAAATGATTTACTTATAAATTATTCACTGATACTCTGTCTTCAACACATCAGATCGTTTAAAAGGAATCTTAATGACGAATAAATGTACTCACAAGGTTTAATAGATTTGACTTCAAAATAAACCCTCTGAAGGCCTATGTTAAGAATAGAGAAATGTGTTTGATCATTTTTCATCAAGAATGTATCTGGGTCTGAATAATCATTACTCAGAACATTCAATTATCATAATTACGCAGTATAATCTATTTATTCTAACTTTATTGAAGGAGAACCTTTTTACCAGTGTCTGGGAGTTTTAATGAGTTTGCATTAGGTATGCACCGGCAGGAGAGCTTACTGTAGAACTTGTAGTTTATTTGGAAGGCAGCTTATACTAAAATTCAGTAATAGAGATTCAAAAAGGTATGGATATATTTTGATTCAGAGCTACTTATAATTAAGGGAGCTGGGTTTCCCCAACCTTCCTTTGTTGAACTCAGTGTTTAAGAGAGAGAGACCTGGTTAATTCAGATAAATCTCAGTGATCTTTTATTTTTTATTCTTTCACTTATGAATACAGTCTAACTGTTCCAGGAAACCAGGGCTACAAAAATGAAAAAAGGTCTTCCTTCAAGGAATTTTCAGTTGGAGAGGACTGGCTGGTAACTAATTACATATGATATTGTAACTACAAACGAGCAACATGAAAAGGTGCAATGGGAACATAGTAAAAGGTGCTTCTGGTCTATCTGGGGAAAGAGGTTCCTTCCATTTTTGTTGCAATGGGAAATGGCTCCCAGAGTTCCAGCAATCACCCTATATTTCTCCTTGCCTGCTTGCAGAAGCACTTTCTAAGAAAAGCAATCTTTATTGATTCTCAAATAAAATGTACTTGTATAGATATCTCAGAAATTCTGGAAACCAAAGATTGTAATGAGTTATGCAAGTGTTTTCCTGGTGGTTTGTGGTGACGGGGGACAGGAATAGTGCAGATGAAAACACCTCAGACCTATTTTTATCTCGCTGTGTTGACTTCCTCACTTCTTGTTAAGGGCCAAACTGACATAAACTATGGTTACCAGTACTCATTTCCCCTTCCTTTTCACACTTTCTGATGGAAATAGTAGTATGATGAGTAGTGAAATTGAAGAAAACAAAGGATAAAGTAACTTTAAATACTCATCAACTATAGGCTAAATCCTAAAGTATATGAGCATATCTACTATACGTTACTTATTGTCTGCAATATTAAAATGTGTTAAGTAAGGGTAACTACAACAAATTCACCTGAAAGTGTTTCTCTATTTTTCAAAGATGGACACTTTATTTTCTTCTTATTGATTGGCTCATTAACAATTTAACCAGTAATCCCTAATAAGATTTGAGATACAGTTTTACAACTACTTAAAATTTTTAAAAATTTAACAAATACTTATACATGTACCAGGTAGTATACCAAGTACTTTTACATAAAATAATGGATTTCAACTCATTAACTATTTAAGCTCATTCACAACGAAGCATCTTTCTCAAGATGCTATTCTGAAAATCTTCAGAAAGGACTGTAACTAGGTGGGTGATTTTACTTTATTGTGAGATTTTACCTGAATTTTATGAGTTTTTATAGCTTTAAAGTGGTTGCTAATAGATATACTTCTTTACATCTATATTTTAGACAATGTGTGCTGACAAGAAACCACTGCTGAATATAATGCTTTTCACTGCTTTGGCAGAATTGGCTTATTCTTTCATCCTTGTTACAATACCAACAATTCTTGCTTAGGATTATTTCTAACTGCTTGTCTCATTGCACTGGTGGAGAAATGCTCTCTCTGTGTATCTTTTTTTAAAACAGAAAAATATGACTTTCTCTAAAACATTAATATGGTAATATATCTTCCTCTTGCACTGCTGTTTCTTTCTCTACAGACTTATCACCTATATAATTTTACTTATTTATTATATTTATATTGTTTATATATATAGTTGTTGTTGTTGTCTGATTTCTCTAAATAGAATGTAAGCTCCACGAACATGAGGTTTCTGTCTGTTTTGTTCATATATCAAGCACGTAGGGCAGTATTTGTGGATTGAGTGGGTTTTCTGAGTCATATTGTAAAG